GTCGCTTCGTCAAATATTGACATCACAAAGAAGCCCTGGGCATGAATGGATGAAGGGCGCAGCATGCAGCATGAGCCTCGAGGAAAGGGAGCAGGCACACAACTCATAGAGCCATGCGCAAGTCCAAAGCGAGCTCAAGCCCCCCCCTCCCCGTACGTGGGTCCAGGCCAGTTGCACATTTTGGCAGGTGGCATTTGGTCCAGGCGCACCTTGATGCCACTGAATAGGATGCGCCAGCGCTGCCACACGCCTGAAGGCATTGTGACAATTGGCTGGTAGCCCCTGTAGCAATAAGGGGATTCAACGTGGTGTGATGGTGGGCAATCAGCAAGTCTGTGTTGCCTGAATACAAGCTAATTAGCCTTCATCAATCAGGAGGAGTACGGACCAGCCAGCCATGTATAGGTACGTACAAAAGATAAGATACTTGCTTGTCCGCCGTCACAAACTGGTCATGTCTGCAGCAGCAGCAGCAGCAGCAGCAGCAGCAGCAGCAGCAGCAGCAGCAGCAGCAGCAGCAGCAGCAGCAGCAGCAGCAATCGCACCCATTCACAAGCAGCACGTTGATGCCGCGGCCACCGTTAGCCGAGGTAGCCTTGCCACTGGCCTTGTTGGAGCCAGTGCCATATCTGTTCTTGGGAAGGGATATGTCTGACACATACTGGTATGGACCTGGCAGCATATGAGAAGAAAACGCATCGTGAATAGCTCGGTTTTGTATTTAGAGTGAGGGGGGCACAGGGCAAGCAAGTGGAGCCAAGGGAAGGGTGTGTGGAAAAGTACACACACATGCAGCGTAGCACTAGGCGCAGACAACTCGTACCAAGCGCTGTGCGCGCGGCATCCATTCTTAATTGATGCTGGAGGGGCTGCCGCGCATGCCCTGTCAGGGACTGGGATCAATGCCGTCCAATGTTTAGCAAAACAGCAGGCTTTGCTCACCGTTGTTGATGAGGTCAATTTTTTTGGAATAGGCTGGGAGGGGGGCGACGCTCTTGGGGGTAGGGTTTTTGAAGAAGAATAGCTGGATGTCTAGGATGACCTCCTGAGCATTCTCAACAATCGAGCGAAACTTTGAAGGTTGTGGGCGCACGTGACAAGAGCAAGTAACGTCAGCATGGGGTTGAAAGAGCCGCGCTTAATCAAGGGACATTGATGTGCACATGTATCAAGGCCCTCGCCACTTGTAGGGGGTCCGGCTGAATTAAGTATTGGCGATTGCGTAGGATCACATTTGAGGCATGCATCACACAAAGACATAGCAACCCACTGCAGGCGCAACTACCAAGCTGAAGACACCCGCCATAATCAAACGGCAGACGCATCGGTAACATGCATGTCACTATGCGGCATGCCCCACCTGATCACACCCAGTGCCGGGCGGCATCCAAAAGTCGTTATCATCCTCAACTACGATCAAGCCGTGTGCTGTGCCGACCTGCAGCGCCGTGCTGCCGTGCTGGTGTGGATGGTACTGCATTATGAATGGCATGTTGACACTCATCAGCGGGGGTTATTGGCGATTGATCCTGATGCAGACAAGCAAGCATGCATGCGGGTTTGCTGCATGCATATGCATGCGGTTTTGCAGTAATAACAGCTGCTGCCAGTCAAGCACGCACACGCCAACAGCGCATACACCTGCCCGTTACGTGCGCTTGTATCCCTGCAGACAGTCGCAATGTTCGTGCGTACCCAGTGCAGGCCAGGCATGTGGTTGGTGGGTAGCTTGAGGTTGAATATGCGGAAGACTGGTGGGTAGGCCGTGCTATTGCGGGCCTTGATCGTGAAAAACGGGTTGTCACCAAATGTGTAAGTGTGCGCCGTGCTCTGAGACGGCACGCCTGTGGAAGCCCAAGCGAGGCAGGTTCGCACATGAGAGGGGTGATGTGGGGTAGCAGATCATCAATGGTTTCAGTACAACATAGCATCGACGATGGCCCTGGAGAGCACAGGACTAAAATTAAGGGCAAGCTGCAGAGCCTAATCTGAGATATAGGCAGCCACAATGCAGAAGTGCTTCCATTGGTTGGACATGTACCTTGCATGTGCGTGCAGGAGTCTATGACATGCTTATGGCGGAAGAAATTTGTACGCAAATCAGGCCCCATGCAGACAGCCCAATCCCTTACCAAGCTCGGCGTGAATGCCGTGTGTATGCATGTTGGTGTTGCCATAGTTGTGAATCCAGTTCACCCTGCAGGCAAGGCACAGGGGAGATGAGCGAGAGCGGCATGCATTCAAGCACAGCTCAATGCGGCCGTGGAGCTTTAGAGACGTTCTGCTGTGTTGTCGTGTCGGTGCGCTTGCAGCTACTCTGCCTGCACTGTTTAATCAGTGTGTCAACCCCAGAAATACTCACTCTTCATGCTGTGTAGGTTGAACAAGCGCGTTTGTCAGCTTGATGCTGCGTCAAATAGGAGAATGTTTTTACAAGTAAAGTCACGGCGAGATGACGCTCTCTGACATGCTGAGTGTGAATAACTTTCATCAGCCCACAGCAGCATGCACAGCAGAGGGGAAAGAGATTAGCATGCAGGCTCTGGGTTGCTTCTGCTGCTTACATGTAAGGGCTGCCACGCTTGAGGCGCATGGTGGGGCCAAACATCTGCACAGGAGTGTTCAGAATTATGAGGGATTCAGAAAACGATCATGTTGAGAGCGGTTGGCTGTGTGTGCACTATGCACTCCAGCCAGGCACGTGCCTGGCTGAGAATGTGCACATTCTCAGTCGCAGCCTGGGCGCATCAGGCGGCATGGCTGCGTGCATTCGTCTGCAGGCTGAGGAGCCCTGCCCTCTCACCCCTGCGATGCCTGTGTTGTCGTCCACGTACGCCATGCCCGTGTAGGTGAAGAGCTTGGGCCCGTTGGTGGGTCCCTGGATTGGGAGAAGGCAAAGCGGGGGGAAGTAGCAGTCCCGTGTTTGCATATTGTGAAACACCATAAAGCCCACTTCAGGTGTGAGTGCACCACCGATCCTTAGAGCCGCTGAAAGCACTGCTGCTGCTTGCAAAGCCCCTGGCTGCCTGCTCTGCTGAACGACAGGCCATGGTCCATGCCAGCCAAGTAGGCGCCCCGCTCGCCCTACCGTGAAGGTTGCTGGTACCATCGTGATTGAAATGGCAGGGACCTCGCCCTTAGGATTGAGGATTGCAGCGCCTGGCAGCTGGTCCAAGTATAGCTTCTGGGGGAACCCATATTTCTTGATTAATTCCTTGGGGGCTTTGGCCTGGAGTTCACGCGCAGCGCCAGCTGGCGTCGCCACGCCCAGCACCACGATCAACGCAAAAAAGGCGGCTGCCACGCTGCTGCATGGCGGCCTATGTGAGTACAGTACGTGTGCCATGGGTCAGCTGCTCGCACGCAGGTGGTGTCCATCCATGGCATCAGGCGGGTTCCGAATGCTGGACAGGGCCACAACGCTGCCGTGGCCAGGTGACACTTTGGCCAGCCGTGGCAAGGCAACTCACCGCATGTTCTGGAAGTTGGGTGTTTTCTCGGAGCAACGGGCGCTTCACTCGATGAAGGTACGGTGGCTGTCACTCCATAAACGCAAGCGTGCAGTTCAGATCTCTGGACGTTGGCTTGAGGTGGCGGCGTAAGAGAAGCTATTAATGATGCTGTTGCGAGGGCTTTCGTCACAGTTGGCGGTGCGGGGGGCCACGGTCAGGCGAACAAAGCTGCGGAACTCACAGGTTTCGACCACGGTACCGTATCAAGGCGACAAGTGATTTATGATAAGGTCCAAATCTTTTATCTATTCAGCTATCAAGCAGGTCCATCAGCTCTTTTGAAAGAAATTCACTACGACGAAAAGGGCACGAGGTTTACCCCACCCAGTAAGGCCGTGTGGTTCACGCTAACGTTGTGTATACGACTTATTATTTCTCAAATTACGTGTTCGGGACTGGCGTTCATCCTGCAAGCGCCAGCAGGACGCGGTGGTCACCAATGGTCAGCCGTGCTGCATGACTACCAACGACCTTGTGCCAGCCAGCGGCGGGCACATCACAGCGGACACAGCAAGCAGAAGGTGTGTAAATTGACATAGGTAGAGAAGCATACCTCAACTACCTTGGAGTCGTAGTCGGCCGTCACCGTCTCACCGGGGATCAAAGGAGCAAGTGTGCAGCAAGTAGCGGAGTGCACAAAGCGAGTGGGGTGTCCCTGCCCGTACCCGTTCCACCGGGACTCGTATCACTGATCACCGGAGCGTGACGGCAAGTCAGCATTTGCCACTTAAATCATCTGACTCTCAAAGCAGCGTCGCCAGTGGGGGCTAATCTGGCTCACCGATTGTAACCCACATGGCCATCGAGTCACTCCGAGCGTCCCCAGTGTCAATAGCGGTTGCTTGATGAATCTGTCTTGCTGGCAGACATAGACAGCACCGACCTCTTGACGTGTTTTGAGAGGCGATTCCACCTGCACTCCTCAGCAAACACCGCTTGCACAGGGGCGCCGGGCTCGACAGCATGCACCCCACACCAAGGACCCCTCAGGCTAAAGGTTGCAACAGCCCTTGATATCTCCAGGCTCTTACCCGGAGTGATGGATGTTCAAAAGTACATGTGGGGTACATGGTGATGATCCCCACAAGCAAGAGAGCAGCGCCGCAGCATGGCGTAAGCGCAGCAAACGTTGGTTTGGCATCCAACGAAAGAAACAGCTGCACCAGGCAGCATTTTGAACCTAGCACAATGCAAGCTGCACCGCTGACTATTGCACAATCACACGACTCAAGGGGCTGCGAAGCAATCACGTGCAGTTGCATCATCAAGCGCAAACGTGGGCAAGAAAGAAAAAGGGGTACAGGCACATGCGGGCTGCTGCTGCAGCCGCAAGCCACTGAGCCCACAACATCACAGAATTCCTTGAGGGGGCGCCACACCGCGTCTTGCAGCAGGCAACGCGAGCCTCGCGCGGTGTCAGAGGCCAAGGGAGGCGCTGCAGCCCACGTAGCAGCCTCACGGGGAGGCAGTACTCCACATGCGCCTTGTTCAGTTGTCAGCGGGGGCCTCGCGGCCTGCACTGCCCCCGCCATCGTCGCTGCTGCCTGGGTCACTGCCGGGGGCATTGTGATGCCGCAGCGTCAGGCTTCCTTGTTCATCATCTGCGGCCACTGCTTGCGACAACGGCTGCTGCTGCTGCTGCTGCATGGACAGCCGCTGCTGGCGCTGCTGCTGCTGCTGCTGCTGCTGCTGCTCCTGCTGCTGCTGCTGCTGCTCCTGCTGCTGCTGCTCCTGCTGCTGCTGCTGCTGCACAACAATCGCCGCAGCAGCTGCCGCAAGCTGATTCTGTTGCTGTTGCTGCTGCTGCTGCTGCTGCTGTCCCACGGACATTTGAGCCAGCGCCTTGAGGTAGGCGACAGCCGTCAGGTGCGGTTTGATCATCTGTGCGAAGCCCTGTTGGTCAGAAACCTCCATCGCCAGCAGCTCGGCCTCCAGGGTCCCCAGCTCCTGGGCGAGAGCTGCCGCACCGCCGCGCATGTAGTGTGCTGTCGCCTGGCTGACCAGCACGAGGGCTGCCTGGAGCGGCACCACGCGCAGCGCGGCATCGGCGGCGGCGATGAGAAGCATCTTGCGCACCGCGCACCAGCCCTGGCTGGGGCCCTCAAGCACGGCGGCGACGAGGCCACCAGCAACATAGCCCGGGCACGGCGCGAGCACGGCCCACGCGCGGTGGCCAACGAGGCTGTCACGCACACCCAGGACGTCGCGCACGGCGCCCGCGATGAGCGGCAGCGAGCTCAGCAGCAGCGCGCCCGACAGGCTCGCTGCAACCATGATCAGGCGCGGAGCCACGTATGCTGTGGCCTGCGCGTTCTCCCAGGTCAGCAGCTGCAGCAGCGCCACACAGTCGTGGTGGATCAGCACAGCAGGGTCCGTCAGGGCGTCGAGCGCGTCGGGGTCGTTGAGCCGCTTGAATGCGTGCGCCCCAAGCGCGCCCTCCACCAGCCCACCGGCCCCGCGCCCGGCAGCGGCGTACGGATTGCCGCCGAGTGCCGGCGCAGCGGCGCCCGAGTGGGGTTGGGCCGCGTTGAGCTCCCGCGTCAGGCGCTCCAAGTTGCCCGCGCGCGCCGCCAGCGCGTAGAGCAGCCGCGCCGCCGGGGGCGCGTCGTCCCGGAAGTCGTCCAGTGCGTCGACGCCGCCGCTGTACAGCGCCGCCATGTGCTCCACCAGCGCCAGCACGACGTCGGGCCGCTGCGTCAGCAGCAGCGCGCCGTGCACGGGAGGCGAGCTGCAGACATACTCACGCAGCACCGACGCGGCGGCGGCGACTCCGTACTGCTCGTCGGCGTCGGGCGACGCCGCGAGGGAGACCGTGGTGACCAGCAGCGCGGCCAGCCGGTCTACGACGCGCAGCAGCGGGGCCGCAAGCGGCAGCGCCACGGCCGCGCTGGCAAGGGCGGACTGCAGGCTCTCGCCCGCCGCCGCGGCGGCGCGCGCTGCCGGCAGGCACAGGTGCAGGTTGCTGCGCGCGGCGGCGTGCACCATGAGGAAGCTGACCAGGTCGGCCACAAACTCGCGAGCCTGCGCGTCGGGCGATGCGACCAGCATGTCCCGCAGCCACGCAGGGTTTGCGTCCAGCAGCTGCAGCGCCGCCAGCTGGCACGCCTGCGCCCCGGGGCCCGCGTTCAGCAGGCTCTTGATCGCCTCGGCCCACACCGCAGAATCGCTGCGGAGGGCGGAGACAGCGCGCTGGTACAGCTGCAGCTGGAACCGCAGGGCCAGGCGCGCCAGCGTAGTCGCGATCTGCTCCGCCTCCTCGCCTCGCCGGCTGGAGGGGCCCGGGGACGGCAGCTGCTCGTAGGCGCCGCCGCCAGTGCCGCCGCCGGCCGGCGCGTCCGACGGCCCCACACCTGCGCTTGGCGTCGCTGCGCGGTCGCAGCTCATGGCGCTGCCGCCGCTCACGGTTGCCGCAGCCGGGGGCCCGCTGCTGCCTCCACCGCCACCAACACCACCGCCGCCGCCGCCGCCGCCGCCGGGCCCGGAGGGCGACAGCAGCACAAGCGGCGGCGGCAGCTCGCGGCGGCGCGCCTTGCGCTGCGACAGCTGGCCGCCGACGTCGCCTCTGTTTTCGACCAGCGTGCGGATGAACTTGAAAAACTCCCTGTCCACGGTGTGGACCTGCATCATGATGCTGATGTTGGCCAGCATCACCTGCCGGTACAGGGACAACGGCATGCCCCACGGCGCCACAAACGCCCCGTTGGCGGCGGCTGCGTCGGCGGCGGCGCAGTCCTGCTGCTGCTGCTGCTGCTGCTGCTGCTGCTGCTGCTGCTGCTGCTGTTGCTGCTCGTTGGCGCCGCGCCCCTGCTCCCGCAGCGCCTCGGCGTTGAGCTGAGCCTCACAGCGGCGCTCATAGAACAGCATGTACGCGCTGTGCGGCCGGTCCACTTCGTTGCGCGGCGCGCGGAACGCGCGATTCGCCCAGTCCTGGCTGGGCTTGCCACCATAGCAGTCTTGCTCCAAGTTCGAAACGTCCCACCCGCGCACGCTCTTGTCGTCAAAGCAGAACCACCCGCCGCGCCGCCGGGCAGCGGCGCCGGCGGCGCCGTGGGCGGCGGCGGCAGCCAGCGCCTCGCGTTCGCGGGCGTAGCTGTAGTAGTGGCCTGTGAACGCGCTGCCACTGTGCACCACCACGCCCGCCAGGTCGTACACAAAGTCGGGGTGAGCCGCCACCGCCACCGCCGCCGCCGCCGCCACGCCGCCGGCAGCGCCCTCGCCCGTGCTCGACTGCCGCCCCAGCCCGCCGGCCCCGCCCGCGCCGCCGTCCTCGCCGCTGTTCTCGCCGTCGCCGCTGGCGGCGGCGGCGGCGGCCTCGGCCTCGGCGGCGGCGAGGCCGTCTGCCGTGTAGGGGAACAGGTCCAGCTCCTCAGGGAACTCAAACCTGTCCCGCACCTTGAAGCGCGTCTGGCTGTGGTAGTCGAACTCGAAGCGCTTCAGGTGGATGACGAGGGCCTGGGGCAGCGCCTTGATGCAGGCGCGCTTGACCGCGGGGACGCGGCGTCCGAGCTCCTCGCACAGGTAGGCGTTGTCGCCCTCCATCAGCTCGCCCTTTGGGGGGGAGGGGGGTCAGGGGGAGGGTTGGTGGGGGAGCGACAGGAGGGTTGGTGGGGGAGCGACAGGAGGATTGCTGTGGAGGGGGGGGGGCGGATTGAGGGTGGCTGAGACTTCAGGCGGGAGTCGCCACGAGCGCCTCCTTGCATGACATGTTGGGGTGCTTTAGAGGGCGTGATGAAGAAGGGCGGCAGGATGTGTGGAGTGTGGGACAGATTGGGGCAGGGCACAGCAGTGGGGAAAAGGGGATGGAGGTTCGCGGTGCTGGACAAGGCATCACATGGCAGTCCCGGCAAGGGGAGGGGGAGAGCCGGCCAGTTATGTGCACACTGACAATTTCCTGCAGCTCCCCCGTATCAAACAGACCAACTGCCAGTCAACACTCATCTCACCCTGCCCCACCGCGCCCTGCCTTGACCCCGCCCGCATCCTGACCCCGCCACCCTTGCACAGCCAAGCAAGCTGCCATCAGCACCACACACCTCTCATCTCAGCTCCCACAATCGCACGAGCTCACAGCCCTCGACCGACACGCTGCACATGCTGGCACCAAGGGAGGCGCCGCCCCTCATACGCCGACCCGGCCAGCGCCATGACGCACCTTGACGTAGTTCTCGAGGCTCTTCTCCAGGCCCCCCATGCCGCGCACGTCCACGCTGATCTGCAGGAACTCCTCCTCGCGCTCGCTGCGGTACGGGAGGCCGCGGCAGATGACCTGCTGGGCAAAGCGGCCGCCCATCACGGTCTGCAGCGCGGGCGTGCAGTTGACGCTCTGGAGGTGGGAGTCGACGCAGTCCTGGGGGCAGTGGGGCGAGATTGATGGCAATGTGCAGTGCAGGTGGTTGGTTGGTTGGTGCATAAAAAGGCTTTGTAGGTGCATGGGGGAAGGGAGGGCCCACCAGTAGGCGCCCAGTACGGGACGGACGCGCCTGCTGGCAACTGTGGTGCCGCCCCTCCAAGGACCCCCCCCCCCCCC